CGCGCCACGCCGCTGCCAGCCGGGCCCAGCCCGTCCCGTCGGGCCCCGTCCCTCCCACTCTGTCCCCTCTCGCGAGCACGGGGTGCCCGGGGAGGGCGAGTGCGGATTGATGGTGGGGGCGAGGATCGGCCAGGATGAGGTCGGGGTCCGGCTCGGTGTGATGTGAGCGGGGACCGGAGCTGGGAGAATGCGTTGGGACGCGGGCACGTTTTCCGCTGCCGCCGCTTCTGGGCTCCGAGCTCAGCCTCTGTCCGGCGCCGGGCCAGACACGACAGCCTCTTCTCAGCGCGGCCGCTGGCGGGCGGGGCAGCTCCCGGGGCAGAAGGGCGCGGGATGCGGACCCTCATGCGCCGGGAATGCCTGGGGAACTTCGAGGCCGGGTCGGAAGAGGCCGAGGTGCCCCATACGCGGCCCCGTAAGAGGGTAAACCCCGTCCCGGCGGTTCCAGCGCCGGGCGAGCCTTCTGCCTGCGGCGCGGGGAAAGCAACGCGGGGCCGCGCCTGTCGCCGGACGGGGCCGATTGCGTGGGGCTGACTTGGCGCCTCCCGTGGACCCGTGCCCGCGCCGGCGGGGAGAGAGGGCGGCGGAGCAGCTGCGCGCCGAGCCGGGACCGCCCCGACGGGCCCCGAGGCCGCCGCTCCTTCGGGCGGGCGGAGGGTCCGAGGCCTGCGGCGCTCAGCAATGCGGGAGGCGCTCCGCTGGGGGGGAGAGGACGATGGGCCCGGCTTCGTCTGCCACATTGCCCTCAAAAATCCACTTAAAAAAAGATGAAGGCACATGCAAATGCGTGGCGCCTTCTTGCTTGTGCCTTTAATCATGCTAAATTGACTCTCGTTCCTCCAGGCCCCCCGAAAATACACACAACGCGCACCGCACCTCGGCGGGGTTGGAACTCCCAGCGCGCCGCGCACTCGCACGCACCGGGACCTGCCCGGGGCGATCTGGCGCTGCACGGCCCCGTGCGATGCCGCTTCCTCAGCAATTTTCCTACCCAAAAGCTGCCGAGAAGGGAACAACAGAGATAGCATCGGGCTGCCTATATCAAAGAGATCCTGCTTAATTAAAGCGGCGGCGCGGTGCTCTCCGTCTTCCCCACGGCGCTGCCCGGACCGCTCTCTGCCGACGGTTCTCGCAGCCCCCGGGTGGGGCCCTCTGACATCCCGCGGGGCGCCGGCCCCGGGCCCCCTACGGGCAACGGGCGTCCCCGCCGTCGCCCCCCACCTGCTGCCGGGGCTGCGGCCCGAGCCCCGGGGAGGGGTGGCTTCGAGGCGCGGGGAGGCACCGCGTTCTGCGCAGAAATCATTTGTTTGTGCCACCGAGAAGCAGCCCGGTAATTTATTGTTATTGTTAGCGGTAACTACACTTCGCGGCTCGCTTACATTTATCCTTCCGAGGGAGGCAGCGAGGGCTACATCCGTCAACGCCGGGCGCACCCGCCAGCCGCTCCGAGTGGCCCCGCAGTGCGCTGCGAAAAAGAGGGCGGACGGCAGAGCGGCTCAGAGCCACAGGGCCCGACGGGGTGGCTCGGGGACTCCGCCGGCTCCCTCCTGCCGGTGCCCGGGCCTCAGCTGCTCCCGTCGGGACCGCCCCGCAGCGGGCTGCTCCCCTCGCAGCGATGGTCGATGCCGAGGCCGTGCGGGGCGCGCAGCGCCGCTGCGAGGGGAGAAAAAAAACAAAGAAAGCCGCCGAACCCCACAGCCCCATCACCGTCCGCTTGTCGCACGGCCGTGGCAACGGGAACGAGCGGAGCGGGCAGCTCCGCGCGGAGCAGCCCCGGGATCGCGTCCGCCGACCACGGGAGTCCCGAGCTCGCCTCGCCCCGGCTGACCCCGGTCCGCTCCCGGCCACGCAGCTCCCGCGGCGCTCCGGGTCGTGCCTCCGCGCGCCAGCAGGGGGCAGGCTGCGCTCGGGGCCGGGCCGGGCCGGGTCGGGCCGGGCCGGGCCGGGCCGCGGAGCGATCGTCGCCTCCAGCGGCCACGGGAAGTTCACCCGCAGCCGGGGCCCACGATCGCCGCTCGCGAGGCCGCCCGCACTGCCGGCGCAGCCAATTCCCGTCCCGCGGGGATCTTCTCGAGCCCTCGGGGCCGCCCGCCTGCCCGCCCCCAGCCGGGAACTCAGCAGAACACGCGAACGCGGACGGGCCACACGCTCCAGAACGCGCGGACATCCTCGCAGCCGCCCGGGGACCGCGCGCTTAAGGCAGAAAAATCGCGGAGCTCCTCTGTCTCCGTCCCTTCGAGTAATGCGGGGCCTCTCTCTGTCCCGAACGCGCGCACAGCGCCGAGCGGAGCTCTCGTGGTCCCGCACGGGGTCCGACCGCGGCCCGGAGCGGCGCTTCGAGCGGGACTGATGCGGCCGCGGAGCTGTCGTTGTGGCCGCAGCTCCGCGCCGCTTCTTTCCGCTCCGCCGCCTCGTTCGGGAAACATGGAGCGGTGTTTGGCCGCTGTGCTCTCCAAATTAAAACAAAACACCTCAAAACAAAAAGATTTGTCTTGCAAATAAATGCCGAATTAGAAGCAAGCCGCGGAAGGTGGGGCTGCGGGGCTCGGCTTGGTTTTATTTCTGTGATGGTTTTGCGCGTGGGTGTTTTAATTGTATTTTGTTTTTTCGTTAAAAGCACTTTGGAAACCGAAGGTAACACCTCATCGAATGGCTCTCGGGGCAGCGGGCAGGGATGGGAGCAGCCGGCGCGAGGGAACCCATCTTTAGGGCGATATTTGTGAGTGAAAGCCGAAGAACAAAGATGGAATGGATCCCGGGGGTGCAAGGATGTTGAATTCCCGCTCCGCTCCTCACGGCCCCGCCGCACGATCGCTTCGCTATTTTCGTTT